CAGGGCCATGCAGCAGCTTCCAAGGCTGTGCTGTGCCACACCACATCATGTCACAGGGGTCAGCGCTTCAGCCTGGCCCAGGCACTCCTTCCCACACACATCCACTTTTTGGCAGAGTCCTTCAGTGGTTCCCAGCAAACTGAAGCATTTATCAAATGCTTGTCCAGCATACTTGGAGCTGTGGTGGGACTTTGCACAGGCTGCAGATCATTGCAGCAGAGGTGATGGCTGTGCCCTGAGTGGCTGCAGTGAGGCTGCTGGGCTGGAACTCATCTGCCTCAGTGCAACACAGGCCTGAGTGTTCCCCGGCTGGAGCTTACCCTGTACAGAAAGTAAATAGCATACATTCTGCACCCAGTGCTCTGGCTTTCTTTCAATCCACAGTTAGGCTTTGAAATAGCACAGAGATACCATTCATGGTGAGCTTTGTACTAGTCAAGGGATTTCAGGAATGATTAATTCACTTCTGTAGCATTGACACATAAATCTGGAGCAATGTCTTCTATTCTGCTACAAAAAGTGATTCAGCTGATGGAAGAGGTAACAGTGATTTGGACATCAGTTATAACAACAAAATAGATTTGGTTTTCCACTTTCTGACACCTTCCAGACAGCAGCAGAGGTGTGAGGAAGCTGAGCACAGGCAGAGGGAGCTGCTCGGACACCTCACACACCAGCAGCAGTGCCAGGAGCAGAGCTGCTGCATCTCAGTCTGTGTTACAGCATTAAAATGGAGCAGCTCTTCCTGGACTACATGCCTAAATGCTCGCTTTACAATAAAAGCAGCTGTTTTCTTCAAACTTACCTGTTTCTACTTTCATCAGTGTCTTCACACACGGTGAAGGAAGATGGGTCAGGCTGCTCCAGATCACTCTGCTGCTCTGGCTGTGTGCTGGAGCTGCCAAGGGAACTGCCTGGTCCTCCAAGAGAAAGACAAGAGGCCAAAGAACCTGGCACAGCACTTGAGGGTGGACAACCTTGCAGGTGCAAAGCAGTGCTGCAAACCCCTAGGCGGTGGGAGACAGAGACCCGCTCTGCAACTGTTCTGCTTGCAATCAGTGCTGGGAGATGAACCCCTTGAGGGAAGTGAAACTATCCACCCTGAGAGAAGTGAATCACTGCACGACAGACATGACAACCACACCTGACCATCGGTGCCTGAAGCTGCCCCCTCCCAGCCAGGTGATGCTGTCGTGGCTCTGAGCAGGCGATGTGCACGCAGGGGTGGTCAGACTGAAGAGCAATGTGAAAAAACCATTCGCTATACCAAGATGCTGCCAGAGAAGGCAATGCACCATTGTGCCTCTGGAGCTTCTATCAGGGAAGAACTGTTATTCCACATTGTTCTAGGTGAAGGCACAGCTGTGCTATGTCCTCGAACACATGCCAGGGAGAATATGCTCTGGCCATGCTGGTAACATCCCTGAGGCTCTTCCAGCTCTGCTGAGAATTAATGCACTCCACCTGGCTCTTGGCCAGACCCCAGAGGTGGCTCTGGCTCTGTTACAAGTTCTCATGCTATTTGTAGCATCTCTCCCACCCCCAGCACTCAGGCAGCTGGCTGAGAAACATGCTGTTATTGGTTTTGGTTTGTTAAAAAGGCATTTCTCAGCATTGTGGTTATAGAAGAAGCTGAAGACTCACTTTTGAAACCCCAGTCAGAAAGACAGGTGCTTCTGCTGCTGGTGTCTTGCTATTTACAGCGTCAATGTGTCCAGAGCAGCCCAAGGCTAGGAAGATTAAGACCTAGGACACACGGAATGGTTTTGAATTGTAAAGCACAAAATGAGCCTCCAGCTGAGATGCACTGGGTGGCACTGTTGCAGTGGATGCAGCTGTACCAGCAGCAGTCAGTGCAGAGCAGGGCTCAGCAACCTCACAGAGCTGATGTAGCTGTTGTAGTAATCTTGAGTACAGCCTTCTAACCTTCATTTAACATGTTGAACACTTTTTTCTTTTTCAGATGGTAATGATGATGTTCATCTTTGATCTTTTCTGCGTGGTGGTTTAACCCAGTGGCTCCAGTGCAGCAGTGGGTAGGGACAGCACGTGAATTTACAGCTTCTGCATCTGAAACCCTCAGCCCTGTTTCCTTGCCAGAGCACATGAATTTATTTGTCTAACCTCAGTCTTTCAAACTGAACTTCACTCATCACATAAGTGGGAGGCCACAGCTGCCTGCACAGTGCTGCACTTCAACACTGAAAAATGATGTGGATGAAAAAGTTTAAAGATGGAGGTTCTTTAGTCAAGATTCAGTACAATCTTCAGATACATAAAAAGCAGTTATGAATGGAACAGGCTCCAGTCTGTGTCTCCCACTGGTGCAGGAGATGTTTGAGGGTTGAAGTCAGGAGCCCTGGGTACCCAAGTCCCCATGTAGACCTTTGAAAACAGGACTGCACCACAGCAGCAGAGGTATGGTGCTGAGGAGAGCAGCCTTGGGTAATGTCCCATGCTGGTTTCAGGAACATTGCTGTGTGTGAGAACACTGCCATCACTGGCCTCCTTCCCAGTAACGTTTCTGGCAGAAATACAGCTCCTCAGCTACAGGTTCAAAGCCAGATATGCACAAAGGGATCTTAAATCCAACATCCATCCACCTCCATCCCGGGTATTGAAGCAATAGGCTCCACAGACTGTTGCCAACACGAGTTGGTCAGATGCACGCTTTGGCCAGGAAAAAGAGTATCTGTTAATTTGGGCCTGCCTGGCAGAGCAGAGCAGCTCACATCCCTTGCCCTTTGTTTTTTTTTTTTTGGCAGTGCTCAGTAACCAGACAGTGCCTTTGAGGCCATCATTTGGAAGAAAAGTGGCACATAGAAATATTCCAATTGTAACATTATCTAAGAGAAATTACGCACCATTGCCTATGAACACTTCTCCAGATGCTGGCTGTTCTCTCAGCCAACAGACTGCAGATTACCATTCCAGTGCAGCAGTTAACATTTGGTATCGCTCAGCTCCTGACCAATTCTGCAATTGTTTGAACTCCCCCAGACACACAACAACAGCAGACCTAGAGTGTCATTCATTCCCAGCTGTGGTAACAACTTCTGAAGCCCAGAGGAAGGAGCATGCATTCTTATTCTCTGTGTGTCTCCCTGTACAGCTAAGCACATACAAGACCATCAATGAGGGATCTCCATAGCAACTTCTTGCCTCTGCCTGAGATGAACTGCTTCCTCTGCAGCTCTTGCTGCTTAGAAGCTTTCTGGTTTCTCTGGACTTATAGAGATCTTTATTTACTTAATCTTTATTTACTCCACCCCCAATGAACCTCACCCTGTAAACTCTCTCCCTGTGCTGCCAGTTGAGGATTCATGTTGGGTGTAAGCCAAACACCACGGGTTCTCTGAGGTCAGGGACACACACTGAGATTTGTCACTATTCTGGGTCTTGCTTTGTGGTTCAGACAGAGAGATCCTGGAGCTATTTGGAGCACCCAGACAGATTCACAGCGCTCATATCGGCGGCTGCAGAAGTTCCCTTGCTGTGTTAAGTTGGCCCAGAGCAAACACGACATGCAGACAATCACCCCTTGGCTCTCAGAGGCATCATAGAGAACTAACCCCATGTGAACAGGAAAACAGAACTATTTTGCAAAGACTGAAGGAGCTGTATGTCTTAAAGTATGAAGAACACACAGGAAAGGCAGGACTGCCATGGTCTTAGCAGCTGGCCATTTGTAGGAAAGCCACAGCCTCCTACTCCTCACGGGATACCAGAGCAGAAATGAGCAAGGATTTCCATGGGATATCACTTAGCTTCTGACTTATCTGTCCTCCAGGCTTGAAGGTCATTCTCAAAAGGAATTAAGCTTTCTTCCCTGTTACTCATTAGCAAGACAACTATCTCCCTCAATGACTGCATAATGCAACATGCTACAGTGATCTAACTGCCTCAGGGAGCAGATTTTAAAACCACGTTTTCTCTGGACAGCAAACAGCTGCTGGAAGATGGGAAGGGAACCGCTCAGTCAGTTTGGCTCTCCCCCGCTGGATCAGAGCTCACGTACTGTACAGAAACATCTGATATTGCTCTTCCACGTCAGCACTCTCACCCCCAGCCATCCATGCAGAGCTCCCAGCAAGGCAGAAATCAGACTGGGCTGTGGCAGCTCACCCGAGCACTTCTCAGAAGGACAGACCAGGGGACTGGGGCTCACATGCTGTGAAATCCTAATGCCGGCTCTGGCATGAGGTCCTCGCATGGCCTTGGGCACTTTTTGGCTTGCAAGTCTCAGTTCTGCCTGTAAGAAATACTAATCCTTATTACCTGACAGCTGTAGCATTTGGATTAATTACATGGAGAATGCTGAGGCAATGAATAACTTGCATCAACACTCTCTCACAAGTCACTTGAGGGAAACCACATAAAATACAAACAGTGGTAATGTGTGTGTTTGCAGAGGCCTTTCTCTGGCTGCCTTTTGCTAATGAAACACAGGGCCTGTGGAACTGTAAGTGCACTGCTGGTCTGGAAATGGCCTTCGCAGCACAGGCAGTGGGCTTGTTGAGACCTCCCTGAACTGGAGAGCTGAGAGACCTAAGCAAAGGCAGCTCAACTTAAGAGGCTTTTTGCTTTACATCCAAGACTGAATACAAACAGCCACCAGGTGCGGCTCCAGAATAGGGATCTTCTGAGGAACCTTTTCTCCGATTGCTTCTTCCCTTCCACTCACTCCTACCAGCAGTCCAGACTGGGAGCTGCTGGAGGAGGGATCTCATTCCTGTCACTGCCTCAGTACAAAGCCACCTTGCAGAGAGGAACTGGCCTGGTAACTGAAGCCATTAACTTGAAAAGCAGCACAAACTTCTCACTGCCCATTTGTCCAAGTAAGCTTGACCAATTCCATTGCCTCTCCTTCTCCTCACCCCATTTTTTACTTCAGTGCTAAAAAAAATGGGTATAATCAACCAACACAAAACTGCTCGGGACACTGAGATGTTCACAGGAGGAAAGAAACGTTGTAGAAATGAGCAGTGGAGACACAGACATGTGCTTTACAAATCTCACAGTTTATTTTCCTCTGTGCAAATTAGTGCTACTTCACATTACTCACATTTCACAGTGCAAGGGGCAGAAGTGATTTCAACACTGCCTAAACAAGCTGCAGTTCGGTAGGACAGTGGAATCATTCTGGGTACCAGATCCCAGACAGCCTCCATGTGATTATGGTCTGAAATAAAAAAAGAACTGCATAGCCAGCATTTTCAGAAATTATTTGTAATACAAGCTACCTCCACGGCATATCCAAAGGAAGCCTGCTGCCTCCTTAGGCCTCACAGCATTCAGTTGTATCCAGTCTCCAAGCAGTTACAAAGAGCAGCATATAAAAGTTTAAGGCACAGTTTCAAAGTCATAGCTATCCAAGACAGATAAGGAAAGAGCAAATTATAAGCTCTTTTCATATTCATTTAATCTCACGTAAGTCAAAACAGAACAAAACTTAGCAGAATGGGAAGCTGGTCCCCTAGAATGACAAGGCAGATCACCACTAGCTGCTTTGCTGGTGTTCACCACTTGGAAAGAGGACATAAGGTGTGAGGTTTGGCAGCCTCAGCACTTGGAAAAATGATTGAATGCCCCAGATATGGCCAACAGGAGAGATCCTCAGGGGTATTTTGCAAAAGCAGCTCGTATCAGTTGTCGTGTCATGAAATTCTGAGGAGATGATTACGTGTGACGTAGAAATTTCATTGTGCAGTATTAATTAAAAAGAAATCCATCACCTGAAACATCCTTCCAGAGCTCGTAGTCAGGCCAAACTGACTGCACACTGTCCTTTTTTCACCTGGTACCTAACACAGCAGTTAAAGGAGCTAAATCTGTTTGCTACATAGATTCAAGTCTGTCTCACACAGCTCATCAGCAGTGGGTGGAAAGATCACTGGCTGAAGGGCAGCTCAGATACCAGGAGATATTACAAGGGCTTTTCCCTGCCTAGTCTGTCTCCAGTTGCTGGACACAGTGCTGGGAGAGAAGAACCCTTCTTTGCAATTGGGTGATGAGGCTGTTTAGAGGCAGTGCTGCTGTTTTCTTGGAAAGAGCAAACAGTTATGGAGCAGCAGAGCTTCCTACCAGTACTGTGAAAACAAAATAAGGCTGTGATTGACCCATTTTTAATCAAATGGAAAACTGCTTTTGTTTCCCATTTTAGCTTCTTCCCTATGAGACATCTCATAGCAACAGCTTCACTCTGCTATTAGCAGCCTATCCTTGTAAGGAAAACCAAGAGCCCAGTAATTAGTCCAATTTATCACTAGGGGAGCTCAGCTGACCTAGTTACAATAGCCACATATTTGATCTGTTATGTTAACCTTCCTCTGTCTTCTCCACAGTCAAAAGCAAAACACCTTTCAACTTCAATCAGGACAGTGGGGGATACAAAGACCAAGGGAGGAGACAGTAAAGACAATTACCCTCCGCATCCCGCAACGCAAGATGCGAAGCCATAACCCAATCAAACTGAAGACACAAACATCTAAAGAGGAGATGCACCAGCAATTAGTACAGGACTAAGTCAGCTCTAAACTGTGCGTACATACAAGCCCTGGAAGGATGTTTGAAGGATGGCCGTTCACAGTGTGGCTCCAGGAATGTAAAGCCAGTCAGCAATGGCAGTGGGCAGATGAGTCATGACTTGCAGTCTCACCCACCAGTAGGTCTCCATGGGATTGTAGCGGTTGCTTGGGTGTGCGGAGACGAGCGCGTTGGTGATGTCATTCAAGACAAGAGACATGTCCTTCAGGCCGCTGTTAACAAAGGACTTCATCGTGGCCACGTGGCGAGTGAAGTACTCCCTGCCATAGTCCTCCCGCACGGTGTTGCTGGCTCCACTCCACAGCACCTCGGCCTGCTTGTCGATGCCGCCCTCTGTCAGGATGCCGGTCGCTGCCACGAAGTTACTGGGCTCGATGAGGATGACTTTGACTCCCCAGCGATACATCTCCTGCCGGAGGCAGTCAGAGAAGGCGGCCACCCCAAACTTGGAAATGCAGTAGCAGGAGCGAGATGGGCTCACCATCCGTCCTAACATGCTTGTGATATTCACTACACGGCCTGGAGAGGAAAGAGCAATGAGAAATGACTGACTGGTTGTTCCCAGTGAGGTCGGCATGGGCTACAGGAGCAGCAGTGACGACGTTCTAGTAAAAAGGTGCTTTGTTGGATGGCACTGATTTGCGAAATCTGTATCTTGAAGTAGTGTCCAAATCTTCTGTCAGGAGTCTCTCCAGACTCAAGCAGGCCAGCCTCAGCTCTGACCTCTTCAGTGGGTTGTCCACATACCTGCCTATGTACAGATAAGGATGTACAAAGCATACAAGACATCTTCTTCCTTCTAATTTCCAAGTCAGTCAGTATCTGTATCTTCTCAGGCTACTAGCTGTATGCTCTTACACCAGCGTTCGCCAGTAGAACCAGTGGAAGAACCTGCAGCACAAGAGCTGTAATTTTCTCACCTCACTGGCTGGCCAGGACTGCCTACAGCATGGGATACATGGAGAAGAGACTTGATGTGCTTCTGTCTGTGGCGCAGCAAAGAGCATTTGTTCAAACGCTTATGAGCAGCCCACGTCAGCCTAACAGCAGAGCCCTGGCAGCTTGTGCTAGATCACTGTCTGAGGGCAGTGGTAGTAGCAGTCACCCCTCCGTGGGGAACTGTCCTTCCCTCACCAAGTGTAGGATTACAGCTTCAGCTACGCTTATAAGACAGGCCCTTGAAATCTCATCAGCTATTCCCGCAAAGAGGATTTTCACAGCCATGGAGTATGACACCTTTCTGCAGTTTGAAACTTTAGCTGAGAAACAAGTGGGTGGCCCTGTTCTCTCATTACAGAGCAAAGCAAAGTTTGGAGGGACTGTGAGAACCACTTACTGATCTGAAGGATAAGTGGCATTCTGTAGTAAGACGGGGCTTGTTTAGTGGGTACTTTCTGGAAATGGTATCCGAGCAATCTGCTCAATATAGCCTCTTTCTGTCCTCATAGAACATATAGCTGTACCAGCATTCTCCCACACACACTAAATAAAGAAGTTCTTCAGAGCTTTGCTCTTCCCCCCCCCCCCTATAAAATAGAATTTTGATGGTAACCACCTTTTTGTACGCTATATAAAATGGCTGTTATGGATTCATTTATTCCATGACTACTCCTCTGCAATCATCTGTGAGCTGAGTAACATGAAGGGAAAGATTCAGCCGTCCAAACTTAAGCACTCATGGTGACTTTGGAAACCAGAAGCATCTTTTTTATGGCCTCCAGACACTTTTTCTAAAGGTGGCTCAAGTTCTGCTGTCATCTCTGCCAGCAATGCTTGGAGGTCTTTGATATCCCAGAACGTTTAAGATCACACCTGCTGTGTAGTGCTTAGACGCCCCCCCTGTTTGGAACACAATACATCAAACAATGCTGTCTATTTTGCCTGCATGCCACAGACCCCTTGGCATTCTTTGAAGCAATCTGGTTCATACATTTTAGCTACGCTTCTTTGCTGCGTGGCAAAATATCCATGAACCTTCCCACACTACCCAGCATATACCTTTAGCTCTGCGAATGAGGGGCAGAAAAGCCTTTGTCACCCTCACGGTGCCCCACAGGTTGATATCTGCCACCTCCTTGTAGTTGTCTAAACTTGTAAATTCCACCTCTCCAAAAGTTGAGACACCAGCATTGTTCACCAGGCCCCACAGACCTGCCAACAACAAAAAAAAAGGTTAAAGAATGGAACAAGGAAGAATGTCACAGAGAAGCACTTCAGAATGTCACAGAGAAGCTCTCTTCACAGTAACCCAACACCTTGACAAAGAACTGGACACTTTCATAGAAAAAAAGTTATAGACAAAAACCCAGCAAGGAGAGAAATTATCCTAAAGATAACAGATATCAAATTTATAGGGCTTATTTGAAGCTTCTGGGATTGTGAGAGGGGTCCACAAGCATAGCAATCCTGAATGTCTCCTCTAAGGCCAGAGGCTGTACTTTGTCTCTGTATGGTTGAATCCTGTTGGCCCTCTTTTATACCTTTTCTAAGTCCCAGGTTTGACTTCTCTCATGGACTTTATCACGCCCTCCTGCATTCTGAAGAGGGTTGGACTTTCCCTCAATTAAGCAAACAAAAAAAAACAGAAAGAAAACAACTATCTTAGATCTCTACATCTTCTTCACAACTCTGGGATGTGATGCACTACCTGGGAAAGCATGCAGCATTGATCTGCAGGATCATGGCCAGTTACCAGCTCCTGGACTTCAGTCCAGATATTTGGACTCCCTCAATCCTAACTATTGCAGGACATGGCAAATTTACAACCAACCCTTAAACTACTAGAATTAAAAATTGAGCTTCTATTGTGCATGCAGTCCCATCAAGATTAAATAGACTGCACTTATCACAAGCTCCTGCACTCAGCCCCTTACATGCCCAAGATTTAGCAGGTCACTGAGCATTTGAGCCTTTGAAGTTATTACTGTAGGAATCCCCATGGCAAATACTTTAGGGTGGAGTCGACACTTTGTGAAATTGCTGAAGCACAGGACTATGCAGCCATAAACTGCAGTAAGAACAAACAGAAAAGCTGGAACAAGATAAGAATTGTCCTAATTAGCTGTCCTGATGTTGCTATTTTTTGTGTAAGTAGCAAGCTTGAATTGGGGCTCCATTCTACTTTCCGACCCTCTTCTTAGTACTAAGAACACACTTAGGAATGGGAAATAACATTTGTGTACAGCTCAGGAGCTCAGACACAGCTATCACAAGTCCCCATGCCATGCCACTGTGACACAAACTTACCAAACTCTGAAAAAAATTGGGCTGTTTGCCCAGCCTCTGTTCCACATCTCCTCTGCTCTCATGTATGAAAGTCTTCCAGCCTAGATTTATTTGTGGTGAGATAGTAACCACATATTTTACTAAATACAGTCTAAGCAAATTGCAACATTCCCCTATTCGCCCAATAAATGTCAATAGAATGTATTTTCCTGGTTCATTTTAAAAGCCCAACCTGCCCTTGCTAGGCTGGCTTTCATGATGGCGATGGTAGCCCTCCCTGTCCTCCCACAGCTGGGAAGCTGAGTTTACTTTCCCTGAAAGCTTTTGGCCAACCCATGTAGAAGGGAACAGAGGAAGTCATGTCCTACCCAGTGATAACCATACATTCCCTCACAGTCTATCCCAGTCAGGCCACGCAGAACAACGAGCTAATACTTAAATGGTCACAAGGCTGTTTGCAGGACAGTGGTGTGTTTATAGAGCACAGCCTTATCACTATTACTTCTTTAATGTCAATAATGCAGTGGGAACTACATAACTCTGAAGACAAACAGTGGCACTCCCAACATCAGAATGAGTTTAGCTTTATGTACACAGTGGAAAGAGGTAGAGGAGTCTAACACAAGAACTGTTCTGTGCTACCTCCTTCAGGGCTACACTTGGTGTGCAACACACCTCAGTCTGAATACAGACTGTATTCCAGTATGTTACTGAGCACTATTTATGAGTAAGCTCCAACCCTCAGTCACATGCCTCCCAAAAAGAGGTCTTTACTGCTTTGCAGTCTGTGCTGCAGCAACCAACGACAAGGTAAGGCTCTCAAGAGCAGGAGGAACCGGTCCAACTTGCTGAACAAGGGCACAAGCTCTCACTGTTCATTTTGCACACAAGATTTTGTGAACAGTGCTGCATTTATAGGAGCAACAGAGCTGCCCCCTTACAAGTTATCTCACAGTGGGAAATGGCACCGTGCCACCACTGCTGCTGCTGGGTTCTTCAGGAAAAGCTTGAGAAGCTATGAAATGTGTGACGAGGGCTGGATGATTGCGTAGGAAGAAAAATCATGCAAAGCACGTGTGGGAACAGAGCTTGTATGTAACTCCGTTTCATATGCTTCTTTTAGGAGGAAAGGTGTGCTACATAATTTGCGAGAAGATTAGAGCTGTCATTTGCTAGCTTTAGGCATTTATATGAATTAGGACAGGCTCACGGTAGCCTCATCCAAGCCTCAGGAGCAGTCACCATCCAGCCACACAACCCATTAATGCTGGAGACACAGATGTGAAACTTCACCCTCAGCCAAGCACTGTAGCTGCTGCCCAGCTTGTTATTCACACAGAGGCTGCACAGAAACCCAGAAAGGGCAAGAAAGCCTCACAGCCTCATTATGTGGGAAGAGGTGAGGCCTCACACAGGCCCTGGTTGTAAGCTCATATCCCACTGCCAAACCATTCACAGAAGCTGTCTGAAGCCCAATCTAGGAGCCAAGCTGTGCTGCAGCAGCAGTGCAATGTCACCCTTCCCCAGGTACCTCTCCTCCATTCAAGCCCAAGTGCAAGGGTAGACATGGAGCATCCTGCCACCTGTATCTTGAGCTGTCTGCACTCTCATGGGCTGCTCTTCTCCTGCCTTCCCACTCCACACACATTCCCAAGCAAGAAGAAACATGAAAGAATTGTCTTCTTTTGCATGCTCCTAAGGCCCCTGAATTGGACTTATACTTGAGGCTGCATGCAGATTAAGGTGGTCTGTGCTGAGCCTATCTTGAATTCTGTCTCACATCACTGCTAGAGAGTTGCATGGCAAATTGAAAGCATGGACTGGCACAGATGAAAAACGATCTAGATTTGGGTCCAGGTCAGTTTTATGGACCAGATCAACACCTGATCACACAAGCAGGTTGTACCAATATAGCAATAAGCAGCCAGGGGCCATGACCTCTCCATAAGCAGGACTGCTATAGAAAAATCTGTGAAGCTGTAACAGGAGCATCAGAAGAGAACCAAGGTCTTGCCATCCTATGTTACTATGGTCACTCAGAGAAATAAGTTCTTAAGGACATGCTGCTACTCATCACTTTTTACAGGATGTAAGGTTAGAGTCTTACCATCTAAGCCAGTCTTGGTCTCTCATTCTGGTACTGATGTGCTGGCCACATGGGAATTCCCACTGACCCAAATACAGCACTGCCTGACCTTTAGGCCTTCAAGCTTGTTAATCATGTTTTGGCATTGCAGCACAGGAACAACCTGGCCAGAGTTGGGCCTGATCCATAGGAAGGATTCCGTGAGTGCACCGAAGAATCATCTGGCCCAGAAAAACAAAGATTCCCACACACCTTCCTCTGGGTCTTTCAGGGTCTTCTTCACATAATCCACAGCCTCAGCCACCTCCTGGTCGCTGCACACATTCATCTGCAGCACTTTCATGCGATCTGACTTCATGTCCTTCAGCTCCCTGGCTCCGTCTCCATTCTTATCCTGCTCAGCAGAAAAGAAAGATGTCTTGCTAAGGCAGGCGCATTCACAGAGACAGGAAATACCACCTACTGAAACTGCATGCAGAGGTGTAAACCTGGTACAGAAACAGGCACACAAGACACACTGTGCAACCCATGGCTATAATCTGTCCCCTCCAGCACAGGGAGGGAACATCTACATCATGACCCACTGCTCTGAAGGGCCAAAGCCCTTCGTGTTTGCTCCTCATGTGAAGGGTTTCACAATCATAACAACGTCAAATAATGCGTCAGCTCAGGATAACTTGCAGGTAGCTCTCTGCTGCCCCAATCCCCATGCTCATAGGTAACTCAGCAAACATTATACACAGATCAGAGGCTGCTTTTCTAGGCTTAACAGCAAAAGGCTAATTAGGTACCTTACTCATCTAATTCCAAAATATTGTTTAGCTTCTAATGAGATAGTAGTGTCAGAAGGCAAGACACTAGGGTCACCTACCAGCAAACAGTTTGATGCTACAGGATACAGCAGAAAGCCTATAACCTACATAATAGTAATATTTTGCACTAAATATGCAGCAGAACAGCATGCACAGTAAAGCATGAACAGTGAAGATGTCTATAATTTTGTCTTGTGTGGCTGAAGCATGAAAGGAGGAAGTTCTGTCCAAAGAAACAAGAACAAGGCTCTACCAGTAATATGATGGCTTCCTTTCTCTCCTTTTCCTTTCTTCTGTCTTTTCTGCAAGGTACTTCTCTCCTTCTCAAGACTTCATTATTAAAGAATGATATGGAAATGTTTGAGAAAAGTAGTGTACAATTAACTTACAATAATGAAGATAATTTTATGAGCCCTTAGCTTCTTATCAGCTTACTGCTGTTACCATCAGACAATCTGTTACTACTTGTTGGTTGGTTTTTGGTGTTTTTTTTTTTGCATACCAAACTTAAATGTGGTTTGTGTTTCAAATTTTACCTGGTCACTTCCAAACAGGATTGATAGCCAAGTTCAGCTATCATACAAAAAAAAAAAGAGACTGAATAGAGCACAGATTAGCCACGCAGTTCCTCAGCAGGCTCAAGATACAGCTCACCAAACTACTCCCTGAATTACAGGATCTGCCTTGTTAGGGAGGAAGAAGTTATGAATAGTGAGTCACATGCCTGGCTGCCACTCTTCCTTTAGTACTGGATACCAGCACCCACCCACAGCACAAGGGCAAACAAGGAGAGCAACACGCTGCCTGCACAGCAAAGCTAATGTAAAACTGTAACCACTTGTTTTTCTACAGGCATCTCAAGCTACCTATTCAATGAGCACAGCATAAACCACCCTGCCTCTACCTTCAGCTCGGTGAACAGTGACATGTTATGAAGGAAAAGAGCTGAAATTCCATCCAGGCATTGAGATGGGTTCCCCTGTTAATATGAGCATATGATTACTCCAGATTTATGGCAACAGTAGGAGTCTGCTTCTGTCCCTATGGCTGCAGATCACATCACAACTGACCTATTTCAAGGTATCACAAAAAGAAAGACTTGAAGTTTTCCAGTGCACAGTGACTCTTATCCAGCCATGAAAGGAATCTCTAAAGTGACATTACAAGGAGTTAACAACACAGTCATCAAAATACTATATTCCCTTTGAAATGAGTGAAGGCTGTGTGATGTCTCACTGTATTTCTGGAAGATGCTCTTGCATCTCAGCTCTGAATTACACAAAGTTCTGAAGAAGTTTACTGTATCTCACTGCAAACAAACAACCACAGCTGTAATCACAGAGCACAGAACACACATTTCCCTGTGTTGCTTTTCTTTTTCTTTTTTTTAATCTTTCATAGTCTTCATGATATAAAGAAATAGTTCCACTGTTTGGTTGGTTGGTTTTTTGAGAAAAAACTTGCAGATCAGCAACTTAAAAGCTCAATATAAGTGTATTATTCACACTGAAACATATTTTCCCCTATTCCACTGCAACTCCATCTGCAAAGTTACCTTCCCAGCTACAAGTTAATTGCTGTTGACAAAACACAGTGATCTTGGAAGACTGATTTCAGCAAGAAGACACCATTCCAGACACCATTTAGCTATAAAACCAATAGCTCAGGGCACCTCAGGGACAGTGAGCACACTGTACAGTTCATATGCTCCCACGGTTCCCCCTCATTTTTGAAGGCTGGTTTTGAACCTGGCATTTGTTCTTCTTCACACACTGGCTGGTTCCTCTATCCTTGCAATTCTATCCAAGCTGCCACCAGAATGGGGGGGACAACATCTTGGTCCCATTGGCAGTGCTGGCCCTGGCAAGGCTTTGGGCACTTGCAGCGATTTCTGGGAATTGAGAAGCAACAAATCCAGTGCTGAGTACCATTGGCGAGCTGCCACCTATCCCACTGGCACCCTCCCACTCCTCATCCCTGTGCTCCTTCTCCTCACATGTGCCTCAGACCTACCCACACCACGCAGCAATTCAGGCACAGCTTTGCTGTGACTGCTTCCCAGAGCGAGATGTGACACGGCTCAGCAGGACATGGGCTGACTCATGGGGTTTGCATCCTCCTGTCACCTTCAGTTCCCTCACTGCTGCCTACCCACCCATTCCTTCTCCACATTTCCCCAGGAAAAAACGCTTGTATTTGTCATTACTGGATTTCAGCTATTTGTTTTCAGATCGCAACTGATTTATTGGCATCATTTTGAATACTGCTCCCTCAGGGACCTGCAATCCTCCCTGCTTGATACTACGTATTTATTTTTCCTCTGTGTCAACTGTGTTCCAGGGCACTTCCAAGAAGATTTCACTGGGACTGAACAGCAGTCACAGGCTTAGAGTGTAAGTTTGCTCGTCAGACTATGAGGGACTGCATCAGAAGCCTTATTTGAGGTGTATTTATTCCTTCCCCTTTAACCACGCTGCTGCTTAGCCAGAATGAGATTAGGCTGACACGGCACAACCTGTTCCCAGTGAACTCGTACAGCACACATGACACTGTGATCTAGGCATTCATCACACTGACAGTTCTGTGTGTTGCAGCTTCATCTCATGTGCAGGAGGTAAGCTGCCTGGTTGATAACCTCACAGGTCTGCCTCCTTTTGAGAGACAAGTACAGCATCTGCCCTTTTTCAGCCTTCTGGAAATGCCCTACCTTCAAGAGTTCCTGAAGATATTACCCATGGTAGAAACCACTTTGGTTCACCCTATCAATGCTCTTTTGGGACATTTATTACATTAAGAAAAACTTATTTCCCCATGAGGGTGGTCAAACACTGGAACAGGCTCCTAGGAGGTAACTGATGCCCCAGACCTGTCAGTGTTCAAAAGGAATTTGGATCACATCCTCTATAATGTGTTAACTTCTGATAAGCAACCAGGCAGTTGGACTACACGATCTCTGAAGGTCCTTTCCAACTGACCTACTCCATTCTATTTAATCAGGCCTTTCTGTGACCAGTAGTACATCATGAAACCTTTAATTCTCAGCACGAAAGGGAGTAAGCAATGATGGAGTAACTAGGTGTGAACTAACAGGCTGCCACCTACTTTGGGACAACTGCCCCCAGACCTGTTCTGACCCTGCAGTGAACCTACAACAGCTCAGGTGTTCTTTGATGACAGGGTAAGTTGCTTTGCATCTGCCATAAGTAGTTTCATGTACACAGCCAATTCTCACAGGCATCCTTAACCACACTGCATACGCACAGCTTGACTTACCAATAATTACTCACATGCTCCTATCTTACTCTTCACTAGTGATCTTACCTAACAGCTCTCTGCCTTCACTGCTGTCTCTTACTTCATTTGGACCCATCACCCTTTTCTGCTCTGTGCTTCCTTTTCTTGGAAGAGCCAGCTCTAGATTTCATCCCAAACACTTTCTACCATTAGGTTTTCAGCAACCTCCTGCTCAAAGTTCTGAGGACACTTTCCCCCACCAACCATCTAAAACCCAAAGCTGTTCCCGCTCTCTACCTCTTCAGGATCAAAGCACTCATTTAACATCTTAAAAGTCATGTGCAGACCAACTATGATTGCTGATGAATTTCCCACTCACACAGTTCAAGCGGGGATCACAACAATTTTGGCTGTCAGTAAAAAGCTGCCAGACCAGATCACAGAGGATGCCAGCAGCTGCCAGGCCACTCTGGGAACAAGTAATAGTACATAATCAGAAATATATATCATTTTTAGTGTCAGTAAAGTGAGCAAACAAGGCTCATATTGTGTGCACTTTAATTTTTTATGCATCTTCAAATCCAGTCTGTTCCTGTCTGCTGTGCAAAAGCATTGCTGCCTTCTGAAAGAGCCTCCTCAGAACCCCTGTCACCTCTTTTCTGTTTCCTACACCTGCTCTTGTAGAAAGCGAGCACCTGACTTGCTATCACTACAAAGACAGACACCCCAAAGTAGCAAATGACATGATCACTGAAGGATTTACAGAGCCTCCACATGGAAATTTCCAAACAATGGCAGCTTTCCAAGAGGGATTGTTTGTTCTCATATTACACAATATGTCAGCTGATAACTTTCCCTGCTGGTCTGGAGGAAGAACGTAACCTCCGCTGAAATCACACAGGCAAGGATGGCCACACTGCTTTTCCACTGTTCTTGCCCTTCACAATTTTCATCAACCTGTGGTCATCACTCTGAGCATCTGGACTGGAACAGACATATTCAAATAGCATCTATTCCACTGAGAAGTAGTAAGAGAGCAAAACCAAAGAGTTCCACTATCTATTTAACGTCATCCGTTAGCACTAGAAGTGATGATTGTTACACTGTCAACTGAATTCACTTATTACATTTGATTGACTTCCCTCCTATTTTGGCTTAAGGAAATAGGTAAGTCAGTTTTCCTCTCTAACTCTCCAGTGCGTGTACTGATGTGTTAGAAGCAGCACTTGCACCAAAAGAAAATAAAACATCTAAGAAATAACTGAAATAAAGACATGAAGTACCATTAAGAGAGATGGCAAATGACAGCACTGGACAATACTGGAATTAAAACGCTCTTTCTGGTTAAGAGTCACCAGCGGAACTCCCCAAGGACAAACCTCATTCACTGTTTTTCATCAGTGACTTTCATCCATAACACAGGAGGGTGCATGACAAAAATCAAAGGTACAGAGAAGCACGGCATAACATGGATGGCCATGAAGAATGAAGTAAAAGAACCGGACAAAAATTAGAGTGTGAAATAAACCACAGAAAAGCCGGTTACGAGCCTGGCACTCATTTCGATTGGTGTGTTTAAGGCAACGGACAATGTTTAAGAGAAATTATGTGGGCAACTTTGTTTAGACTAGATAACAAATGTTGAGAGAAGCTTTGAGCACATTGTCGTTCCATCCAGGGAAGAGATAAGAAACTAAAGATCATTTGATAGACAAACGAGCGGGCATGAACTGATCTTAAACAATTAATGCTGGAAATTACATAAGTTTTGATAATCTAAAGAGGAAAAAAAAGAATAAAACTTCAGATGGAAGTGGATCGTGCCCAATTTATGGAGGATTACACAACATGATTACCTGCAAGAACAGGGACTGGACTGACAGCTCTGCAGCCCCTTCTGATTCAGCGTGCCTAAACTTATCTCTTGCAATTGATACTACCTACCAAGTAAAATGACAGAAGGTGAGACCTACAGGTATCAGAAGGGTACAGTTAGTTGGTTTGCTCATCTATCCAAACAGCAGACAGCTTTCAGAAAAGCTGGAGAAGCACTTTGGAGATAAACCCAACCAAGGCAGCTTGGAGAGAAGTTTGAGTAAAATGTCCTTAGAGGACTGTGATAGAATGAGAAATAGCAACAGAGATGCCTGAGAAGACAGAAAAGCATGGTGCCATAGCAATTTTGAATCACCAGATTTATTGTGTATTTTGAGACGTTCCAGAAGCAACCTCAAACCTTGCACACTGTTGTGCAAGCTACTGTACAGACATGCAGCTACAGACAGTCCCTGCCCTAAAGAGCTCAGAATTACAGGAACAAGATTCAACAGGTGGATGAAGCAACAGAACATACATAAAATCTCTCCCCACCTTACCTCCCACGGGTTTTGGATTAGGACAAATGGAAGCTGCTGATAAAAAGGCTGTTACTTGAGAAAAATTTTTCTGTAGTCCCAGAAGAATTTTGATCAGTATTATTACTCACCGCTAGCAAGCATCCAGCAAAAACAGTAAATCCCTTTGCATGAAGCTGTTTTGCCAAGGCATGTCCAAAACCTTTGTCACAGCCTGTTATGAGCACTGCCTTCCCTTCAGCCTGTATGGGAAAAGACAATATGTTATCATCAGACACTGCAATCCTGCAGGTACCAGCAGCATTGAGCTACACAGCAAAAGAGCAGTTACAGACCTGCAGCCAGTGTTTAGAAGGTACAGCTAGCAATTAAGAGGCTGTATGGCTGATACGTGGACTCTGTGTGGGGCTGAGCTCACCTGACCTAAGCTATCTGAAAGATGGCCATTCATGTTAGCAGTCAAACATCCTTGTGAAATCCACAGAGAAGGAAAGGCAGCCCCTATAGAACACCTCAGAACCTATCCGGAAGAGCTGGGATAACTTCCCTCCAGACCAGAGGGAGCTCAGATAACCATCTCAGATCTGGTGAACCACTGTGGACAAGTACCACTCTCAAAGCAGCAATAACCTAAATGCAACAAAGCCTGGTCATATTTCTCTGCAGCTCAGCTCTCTCCCTGTGCATGATGGTGGGCACAGACTCAAGTCACAATGACCAGTGACCTGTTTCACTGCAAACTAGATCCAGTGATTTTATGGAACTCCTGCTGGAGCAACCAGCACAAAGGTGTAGGTGAGATTCCTGTGTAGAAAAATAACCAGCTCCCAACTACCATGAAATCCTAAGTTTATTTTATCACTGGTCTGTAACAACTTGTGTTATCTTGATACCCTAGCTAAAACTGCAGCTATCAAGTATCAGTGGCCAAAACTGCACAGACATGTTTTAAAATAAATGAGTGATCTATCAGCTCATAGGCTTATGAGAAAGAACAGCATAGAAAAAGTTACGATGACAGTATGTCATCTGTCCAATCAGCACAGCAGCTCTTTCGACTGCAGTGACTATTGTCTGTACCCTTCTTACTCCCACTCTATGCAGTACTTTTCATGCTGTATTTTAGCAGGAGTGTGACTACAGCTTAGGGCTTCCTTTTGAAGCACTGAACTCTTAACAGGAACCGTTTGTCAAATCCCGCAGTTCCCTCCTACATTATTATCTTTTGACTGACAGCTAAATTGAGAGAGAAGATTTGATACTACATCTGCTTTGACATAACAGGCTTGTGATAGTTCTGAAAACAGAACTCAAAATCCCGAATAGAGTTCCATACCAAAACATTGCACATTCATCCTCTTTCTTTGCTTGAAAGCCATCTTACCCTCTCTTTGGCACTGCTGTGAAGCAGTGAACTCTTGAGATGTTTCTCAACCAGCAGCCACCCAAGTGCAGTGCTCCAGACTGTTCCAAACAGAAACTCTATCTGTCAGGTGATAACGTGACATGGCAATTAATGCCTGGAGAATGCAGTAAGGAAGTGAGGTCACTTCCATCTCAGCAAAGGCATTCACTACTAAAATTCCCCACTGCCACATTAATGGCATCTGGAATACGAATATTTGTATTTTATACTACCTATGTAGGAATTTCATCATTTTGCCCAACCACTGTTTCAGACAGAAATCAGGCAACCCCCAGTGCTCTGATCCCTTGTTCTGCTGACATGCGGTAGTGAAATGGCAATAAGGGATAACTGCAGGGTGACAGTGATCAGTTACTGCACATACTTAAATGAGGGCAACAGGCAAACGAGCAACGCCCTCTCCCATCCACAACTTATTGTTTCAAAGGACAGTCAAGAAGTGAAGCTGAAGTGAGAACTGATGAAAAGTCTGTCCTGCATTTATCACATCAACACCCACACGAACACTGACTCCTATAGTCAGACAAAAATGCACCCAGCTACAGACTAGTTCTACTGAACTGTTAAAGATAACTACAGCTAAAGGACATAGGCTGAATGAGAACCAGATATAGTGCTCAGTCTTAACCTACAGTGACACAATTTCAAGAAAAACGAGGATCAATAATGAACCAGATCACAGACCTGCCAAAGTTACTTCCCACGTTAATTCAGCAACCGGACCCTTAAAGAACACACCTTTCTTCTTTTTACTGCCTTACCATTTGCTTTTGAGTCCTGAACACAAAGAACTTCCAGAAAGCAGAGGAAATGAGCAGGACATAAAGAGCCCTCATCACATCCAAAGACCAGAACAGGCGAAAGGAGAAGTGCACCCCTCAGCCAAAGGCAGCTGCCTCCTCAGTCAGCTGGTAAGGGCAGGTACATGAAATAAGGGAAGACCCATCTATAAATGGCTGGGCTGTGTTCCTATCTTCATCGAGTTTAACTCACAGCAGCTGTTTAGTTTTCTCTGGTTAAAACAAACAAACAAGCAACAACACAACAAACCAACCACCAACATGTATGCAAAAAAACAAGGATAGGGAAAAATCCTCCCAGCAACCTACAGTGACCAGAAAGGTGAGAAACAATTTACAGTACAGAAGGCTCCTGTGATCATTTTTGCAAATGCAAATTTGTTCATTTGTCCTGTGATCATTATTTGTTATTATACTCAGAGGCACACACACTCCATAAGCTTTTCCTACTGGGATACGAATGCTTTGTTAAACAGCAGAAGCTTTTATCTATGTAGGTAATCTATCCAAAGTGTACACGTTTATTGCAATAGAAATTAAGCAAAGTTACTTTGTCAGCCCTAGTCTTCCCACAGTTTCAGAGCTTGCCCTGTCTCTTTCCTTTTCTACTTTGTGCCATGTTATTTTCCACATTCTGTTGCCTTGGAGGACCTCCCTGATCATTTCCTTGTTATCAGGTACGTTAATTTGAAGATAAGAACAGCAGTTACATTGTAAACTTTCCTTGTTCCTTATTTCCAGAGTTAGGAACTCGGGGCTTTCAATCCCAGGAAGAGAAACTGAAGATGTTCTCTAAAGAGGTCTTTTTCCTAACATGCAGAAACCCCTGCCTGCAGAACAGCCACCAGTCACAAAATTCCTTTGCTAGAGAAATCTCTGAATTATTAACTTTCCTGCAGTTCTGGCTAGCACGGATTGCCTGGTTACGATGCACAGGCACTGTCACTGCTTCAGTACAATAAACATTCACAGGGCAAAGTCGTATAGGCAAGTTAAAGCACAAGAAGCCAGGCACAAGTCATCACACCTGGAAGGCCTCCAAAGGCAAAGGCTGGAGGCCAACTCGTGTGCCATCCATCACCTTCATGATGGACAGACACCAAACTGCTCCTTGGCTCTCTGGAGAAGGCCGCGGTGCCACCTCTACTCAGGTACTGCCAGCCAGGGGTTCCTCGTGGCACAGAAGGCAGAGGATGGCTATGGGAAGCGCCACGTGGAAGGCAGTGAAGCAGGAGCACGGAGCTGGATCCCGGCTGCCTCAGAGCGGGCAGGAGCTGCGGATCCCTCCTGCAGCACAACCAGGAGCCGAGCTCACCGAGAGCACCCGGCCGGGCTTCTGAAAGCACACTAAAGGAGGCCGGTCACGCAGTTATTCCATTCACGGGGCTTTTTTCTCCGTTACGTTCACTTCCTATAATGTCAAAGGCCGTACGAAGATCCGCGCGTTCAGCACTCGCCGAACGCAGCGCAGCCGAACGGCTGACAAGGGCCCGGGAGCCGCAACACGTGCCGGGCTTCGGCTCTCAGCGGCCCGGCTCTCCCTCGCAGCGCCGACTCTACGCCTCCCTCAGCCCCGCACAGCGGAGAGAGGAGCGAGGCCGGCCCGCCGCCCCCCCGGCCCCCGCCGCGGTACTCACGGGCAGGGCGCGGCGGAGCCGCCGCAGGAGGCGGGGGGCCAGGCACAGAGCGGCGCCCAGCGCCAGCAGCACGGCGGGGCCGCGCATGGCCGCGGCGGTTCGGCCTCAGCCTATGGCCGCCGTCTACCGCCGCCGCCGCCCGCGCCCGCCCCGGCCCTTCCCCCGGCCCGCCCCCCGCCGCGCCCCAGCAGCCGGTTTGCGGCCCAGCCTCATTCAAACGCAGCGCCCGGGACGCCCGCCGGCCGCAGGTAAGGGGCTGCCGATGACCTCGCGTGTCCGCGGGGAGGGGGCGGGCGAGCCGCGCCGCTTCTCCTCTTCCTCTTCCTCCTCGGGGCCTCGCAGGCCGCGCGGGCAGCGGCCCCGCCGACATCTTCCCTCGCCCCCCTCGCGGGGCCGGGCCGACGAATGACAGCCGCCCGCCGGGCCGCCCGGGCGTTTCGCCCCACGCCGCCGCCCAGGGACGCATCCATCGCCCTGCAGCGGTGCGCGCCGCTCGGGCACGGCCGAAGGGCGGCACCGGCACGCCGGCAGCTTTTCGGGGGTTCCCGGAGCCGCCCGGTCCCTGCGGAAAGTGGAGCGACGTTGGCGCCTTTAATGCACGCTTTCTAGACCTTTCTTTGCTGAGCTGCGGCCAACAGCAGCTCTTTCATAGCAATTTCAAGCTTAGGCCCGTTTCCAGCAGGCCCTAAAATTGCAGAATTCAACGGAGGCGTACATAAAGCCTAGCACTTAGACACCATTTTTCAGCTGCGGTGAGGGAGACAATGCCCTAAGCTGGGGTGCGTGTGCTGGATCAGTTTTAAACAAAAAAGAAATGAATACAATGGACTTTCTGAGCTTAATTCCTGCTCTTGAGCCGTGTTCTCCCCTGGGTCACAGGGACTCCTGTGCACAGCCCAGTATCACAGCTGCTCCATTACAAGGAAATGCATTTTTAACCACGTGGCTGTATGAGCTGCATTGCTTCGGGAACATTGTAGCACAATGTCACCTGTGCCGCCAGCATCTGTTTTACATCATATATTGTACTCAAAATAATAAATTCCAGTTTTCAGTTGTTTCAGAGAATAGTCTAAGATGCAATAAACAAAGAGAAATGGACACTTTGTTTAAGTGACTGCCTGCTTGTCAGCCCATCTGTAGTCTTTTCCTTGTTTAAAAGCATGTTGAGGTGGCTGAAGGTTGAGCCATTTATCTCAGGATGAGGAACTGCAAGGGGGAAAGATGAGTGCCTTTGGACTTTATTTTGTCTTTAAAATGTACAGAGTCAGCATGACTTACAAAATAATTGAGCAACTAAAGGTGAGGCACTATCTTGCCTTGCAGAGCTAAGGAAGAGCAGGCTTGCTGTTGATAGAGTGTGTTGATTGGAAGCATGTTGGCAACCAAGCTGTCCCGTCCTCTCCTGAACCTCCCTGTAAAAACCCTGACTTTCAAGAATCCAGGGAACAAGTCCAGGTAAGTAACTCAGTAGAGAAGAAGAGCAAGATCTTGAGTAAAGCACACATAACTTGATTTCAGGGGGGCAGTTTATTTACAGAGGTTGGGAGGGCCCTCCAGAGGTCATTTGGTCAACCTCTTTGCTCAAGAAGAGCAAGGAGCTGCTTGCCCAGGACCACATCCAGGCTGCTTTTGAAAGTCTTCAAGGATGGAGATCCTACAACCTTTCTGGGCATTCCTGAACATTAGCAAGTAGGCATTGGTGCAGTGCAAGGAACTATCACGTTTCTATAACTGTAATAAAGAGATAATCATGTAAAATAGGAAAGTTGATGAGAATTTTAATGAGAAAGAAAGGTAGGTTGAATAACAAAACTGTCTTTTTTCTTTTTTGGAACATAAATAGGCAGAAAATTATTTAATTCTAATTCCTAACTCTGAAAAAAAAAAAAACCCAAAAACAAACAAAAGCAAATCTTTGTGCCTGTCTGTGAAGAGAATCCTGCTAGTCCAAACCCAGCGCAAACTGAGTACTTTCATTGGCTTTAGAACAGGGTTCCCACACAACAGTGAGCATGCCACCGATTGTAGAGTGGTCTGCTAAGCAAGAATTTACACCTTCAGTGTTGTTCTACTGCTGTTGATAATGGTATCACACTTTCAAGGTTGGCTCTTGAAACAGCAAAGATAGCTAATCTGTTAGATTTCCTATGCTGATCGGCAGCAGACATCTGTTATATCATGTGACTGTAGACCAGCTTCCTTTCCACCTAGTTCAAAGCTTCTGCTCTGTTCTCTAGCCTTGTTTTCTGAAGATGCAGCTCAGAGGCCAGTGTCTGCAGATTGCAGTTCAGCGTTGCATAGATCACCCTGGGAGTGCCTGTGATTTCTGAGCAGAGATAATTGTGAGTGATTAAGCAAATTCAGCCTCAAAGAGGAGCTCTGTTGGAGGATAGATTTTATCAGAGGAACCAGAGAACAGCTGAAATATCCAGAGGAAAGCAAGGTAGCAGGCCATAGCAGTGCTCAAAGCAAACCGTGAAAAAGCTGATAGAGCCCAGAGAGGTGGCTGGCAAGGTCAGCAGGCAGGGTTAGCCTGGCATGTTCTCTAGACCCAGCTTCACTGGATTATAGCAAGGCCTAAGATAAGATGTTACTGATAACAAGACTATTCTGAACAGGTTCTCCCCTGGAAGGCATTGTTGCTTTGCTCTGATCTGTGTTTTTGAACACACTGTATATTCCTCAGAGTCAAACATACTGTGCAGAGTAGCTTTAGATCTGCATGGCACATTTTGTGCAAAAACATCTTTGTTTTAACAGCTGCTAAGAGGGATATGAGATCTAAGAGGATCTAATGGGCACACGCTGCAGAAGTGTCATAGATGACAGAAGGGTGGAGCTGTGTGTAAAAACAGTGAGATAATTCCAAGCAAATCAGCATTAGGATGGATATCAGAGACAATGCCACAGCAGCATGCTTTTAGTAGACAAACGCATAACTTCCACTACCCCTGCTTTGTGCAACTCTAATGAGAGCACTGTTGCTGTTGAAAATGAAAGCACTGTACTGCCCATTTTGCAGATGGAGGCAATTCTGTGCATTCAGACTAGGAGCTATTTTAGAATTCTCATTTATATCCATATATAGATCCAGCAGAGAGAAATAGCATCAGTCTCAGGAGAAACAAGTGTTTCCTACTGTAGGAAACAGGCTCAGGCTAAGGAGAACTGTAGATGAGATTGTCTTCTCAGATGGCAGTCCACATTATGTATAAAGGCAACACAATATTCTTTTTCACATACATTTTTCATATGTAGCACCAAGCTATGGACAGGATATTCCATGCTTGATTGTTCTGTGTTGCTGTTTTTCTTTAACAGACCCATGCAAAAGTTTTGCTTCCCTCTCCTATCCTCATGTGGCAGCCGCTCTTATGCAAGTGAGGTTGATCAGGTGAGTATTATTGTAGTTTCCAAGATCTAGTTCTGCTGAGCTGAGGCTTTAAACTCTCTGGAGCCTGGTGACTAAAGTCTTCTTTCCTATTTGCCAGAACGACTCTGAGCTAGACCTCTTCAACATACCCCACATTCTTTCCTAGCAGAGAGATTCCATTGACGCAACATGGTACATGCTACTAAGGATAGCAATAAACAATCAGACTTTTTTTTTTTTTCTATTTCTGGAACTTACTCAGCAGATGAAACCTTCCACCTTAGAGTGGAGGGAATTTGCATGACAAGTTCTTAATAAAGCACTCTTTCCAGAGTATGGTTGTA